AACGTTCGCTAACGGCTACCATACGCGTTAAAGTTGTTCCTTCCAAAACAGGTTGTTATGAAAGGATCAACTACACCTAGCACGTTCTTCGGTTAACTAAGCCCTTTTTTTCCGCCGGAATCGCACGACGATTTTTAGTCAAAACATCCATTTTTTGTCTTACACATCATCACCACTAAAGCATGGCTTTATAGCTTCTTGTTAGTGCGTTTTGTAGTTTCAGTTCCAAAGAGAAAAGGATCGAGTGCTAACTCCGCTGCACATCGTGCCCAAGCTGCCTTTTGCGACCTGCTGGATAGTAGAAAAACCAATTGGCAGTGTCCTCTGTACTTGATCCTACCATGTATTAATAGTATATCCAATAATAACATGATAAAGCGAGAACCACCGCTCTGACACAGTGCTACAAGACAGTTTCGCTTGCTTTTCGTTATGCAGCTTTTATAAAGGTAGAAGCAGCCGAGTGTCTTTCGTTTGTCATACAGCAAACATTTTGTATTATCGCCACGAAAGAGGGCTGTCTTACAACAAGAGACTTCTACCAAATCAAAACAACGTCGCTATGTTTCCGAAGTCGTATCCGCTTGGAACTCAGAAATTCTTCACCGTTCTACTGCCAACCCCAATTTGCAAAGACTACGAAATTGCAGCTACTAGGACCTGCACTAAGCAGATAAAAGAAGTTACGTAACAGTATTAAATTGAGGCTTTTTCGTTCTGCATACTCTCACACAGTGTTTCTTGCCCACTTCCAGCTACTGATAAACGAACGAAAACGCGTGAAGGCTCGCAAAAATCAACTGGTCTCCGTTTCCATCTCCAACATTTTTCTGCACCCCTGGACTTTGCGCTTTGGGAATCTAGTCATGTCCTATCCCAAGATCTTCACCATCAAGGAAAACAGCAAGCGGTAAGAGAACCGGCCCACCCGCCTACACTGTGCGTACCGTTTGCTGGTAGTTCGATCTCATCGACTACTACAACCACCGTCGATGGCGCAGGAAGGATAACGCTGAGGTGCAGTGCCAAATAAATGAGATAAAACCCACTCAATCATTTGGGTTGTGAAAGCCATTAGACATAGTAAGAAACCCTGACCAAACGCAATATAGACCGGAAATACTCAAATTTTTGCTTGCAATTAACTTGTTTATATTCAGTACTTCAGTAATGTATTCAAACGTAAGCATTTCCAAGAAGAACTAAATTCATTCGTAGCACCGTTATACTAGTGTTTAGTGCTGCTAAAGATCTACTCTGACTTAGTTCTAGCGCTGACGAAGTTGTGGTAATCGAGAGTGACGCCCAAGTTACTCGGGTGGTTCCGATCAGTGCTTTCTACTAAAACATCGATAATTATAGGATTCAAATCTTCAGCCATCCATTTCTCGAATTGTTCGTCTTGCAAGTCGGAGACCAATTGCTTCACATCTCGGGTCTTAGCTTCACGTTTTGCATCGTACAGCATTCGCGCCAAATCCATGCGTTGAAAGTGCTCCTCCAATTCCGAGATAACTGCAAACTTTTCCGGAGTTTCCTTGTGCTTGTTCAGCTTGTTGACGTACGAGATCCAAGTAGTTAGCGCTGGATCCTCA